TGACATCCCTGGTGTAGACGTTAATAACTGCGACCATTGGATTTAGGATTGGGGTTGGTGTAGACATTATAAACTGTGATGGGTACAATGCCATCTTACCGACAGCATAGATTTGACATGGGTCTGGATAACGGCAAGTTACACCTCTACCACAAGGTCCACCCCTTCAAGTTACGCCCCTGTTTTGCAGTCTGCAGACAGACCCTTTCCAAAGTATTTGTTGTCATAATATTGAAGTCAATTGTGACAGGTTTTTAGTTATCTCACAAGCCCATAGATTTAACCCAAAATTGCATCGTAACCTGTTGCCTTCAACCACTTAAGTTTTTGACACAAGGTGAAACCTAATAGCGTAAAATTAACATAACACGTAAGGTTTGTCTTAAGAGTGCAACTTGTAGTTACCTACAACAAACCAAATTCACACAAGGAAGAAATGTCCACTATGTGGCAGCATAGTGTCAAGAAAGTTGCTCAGTTTTCCACAGTGCTCACAGTTTATCCTTGAAACAAAAATACATTCACACTGTAGTCAAAAGACGGTCTCTGATAATAGATTTAATAGAATACAACTGCCAGTATTTTACCATCAAAGATAAATGAGCAACAATTTAGAAAAGGAGCATGTGAAATGTGCTTTATTTAGCGTCTTGCGGACTTAATTGGATCTATACTTGTCCCACAAGACCACTGTCAGCTCATGTAATACTCTTATGATGATATGAGTGACGAATGTCAGCCACATGAGTTTGTGCAGTGTCCTTCTGAGCTGCTCCACATAATCCAATCACCTGCTCTGAGAGGCGGGCTTAAGGAAGGCTAATATTGTCTTTGTCTCAGGTGAGGTCATGCGGCACAACATGGAGACAGGTAACGGCATTTAACTCCATCTAACTTTGTTTTATTGCATTAACATTGGATTAAGTACGGAAAAGCAAATACGGTAAATCAGCTTTATTCTGGACAGATCTTTCAAACAAAGTAGTAACATGTTGACCGATCTTTTAAGAGGATGATCTTTGTATTGTTGTGAAATCTCCCCACGCTGATTCATGTAAGCTAGGCTGTGTATTATGAACAAGTGAGACAACGCATCATTATGTCAGTGAACGCTGTCGGGTTATATTGTTCATCGAAGCGTTTCGTTGCGCTTTACGCAACCTGTTGCTGAGCGCTGTCCGAGGTGCTGATGATGAGCCAATCAGTCGCAGTGCCATGTTAAGACTGATAACATGACAACGCTAAATTCATTTCGTAACCATATTGCACGAGACAAAAACTTTCATGTACGCGTTTACAGTCAAGATGACTCGTATTGGACTAAAATGGATTTATGTTTTGTGTGTACACGTGCGTTTTTGTGACATGACACAAATGCGTATAATGACTTGGTACGACACATGATGTATTACAATGAAACGGCTAATTTTGAAGACATTGCTGATGTCCCTTATTTACAAAAAACTTATAAATCATACAGAATTAGTTTTTTTTTCTTTTAGAAAGTGAACCAGCACACTCTTTCCCTGTAAATGGGTAGGGTTAAGTTGTGATCCTCTCAGTCAGAACCAGCAGACCTCACAGTTAGTTCCAGATTGTTTCCTTCTGAGAGAAATATTTTTGTTCTATTTTACTGCTGTTTTACATGTTGTCAAATCCTAAATATGTTTTACTCTTTATTGTAGTCAACTATTGTCTTGAGAATATTCAATTTTGTGTCAGTTTTACACACTCTGTACATCCAGTTGTATATGTTTCTAAAGCTTCAGTTTAAGTAATGTATTGGTAATGTTTAAAAGGAGCCCAAGGGATGGAAGCATATTTTTAGTCACTAAAAATCTTATTTTTTTACACTGAATATGAAAGTGAAAGTAAACAGATTTCAGTTTGGTTCATAAAAACATGTAAGGGAAAGTTCACCCCAAAATTAATATTTACTCATCGTTTACTCACACTCAAGTGGTCTCAATTGGTTTTCTTCAGAACTAAATTGAAGATATTTTTAAAATGCTGATAACCGATAGCATTGAATCCATAGTAGGAAAAAAACCCTGTGCACGTCAATAGCTGCCGGTTTCTGACATAGCATAGTTTGTGTTTAGCAGAGGAACAAAACTCAAACAGGGGTGCATTTCCCAAGCAACGACGTAACTTGCAGCTAATCTGTCATAGTACGATGCATCGTTTGGGAAAAGAATGATGTAGTGACGAGTGTTTCCCAAAACCTGTAGTTTCTCTGTTGCAGATCCATCGTTTGAACAAGGTTAGTTATGATGTAAAACGCACACAATGATGCTCTAAACAGGGTGGATTAAAAACTTCTTTAGAGAAGAATCTCATTTTTTTGTGTGCAAATTCTATTTTTTAAATGCACACACATTTAAAAAAAATTCTAAATTAGTTTTAGTAAAAACATGCACTCGCTTTCCATATTAGTTGAAATATATGTAAATGGCACATATAGGGCCTGTGTTTCCTTTACAAATATTATTGAGAACATATATATATATATATATATATATATATATATATATATACATAACATATTTTATGTTCTTAATGAACATAAAATCACTTATAAAACCTAACACGTATTCTAATATATATATATAATAAATAAATTAATAATGAGGCTATTTATTAAGAAATGAAATGTAATATTTATTATTTATTAGGAAATAAAAAAAATCCTACTTTAATAGTAATATAAATAATATTAATGATGATGATGAAGATTATTGTTGTTATTATTATTAAGTAGGATATTTTTAATTAATTTATTTTTTTTTGAAAAAGTCTACTTTCACAATTTGTCACATGCAAACCACTGCAGAAATCTTCTAACCAACAGGCTCATGTCATGCACTCAATATATATATATATATATATATATATATATTTTTTTTTTTTTTTTTTACTTGTTCAAAGTCAAAATGTCTGAAACAACACAATTATTGAGATTTCTTTGGGACAGCTTAATTTATTTATGTTCAATCCACATAAATTTGTTAAAAGTGTTAAGTTAACTTAATTGATTTGTATTGGGACAACAAATGAGTTGTGTGAACCCTGCATTTTTTACAGTGTATACAGTACAGATATTAATAAATAAGCTACTATAAAATAAAAGCATTAACATATGCTATGTTATTTTGTTTTCACAAGCTTCGGACACGTAACATAAATTCTGCTTTTAAATAATAGGTCACCTGTAGCTTTCGTCATTAGCCACAGTTGTGTTCAAAATGACATCATTGTTTTTTACAGTGCACTGCGAAGGAAGCGCAGTTGTAAACATGAAGATCGATAAAACTGAACTGTAAAAATGATTTAAAAGCAAATTACACCTAAGAGAGATTACCTTGATGCTTTTTAAAAAAATAAATATTTCAAGTTTAAATGTTAGAATGTTCTAAATGAATAGGGCATAGGGGGGATAAGTGGGAATAGAACACAGCCAGGAACAATGTTTCTAACTACAGCTCCAGAGGTATAGTTGCAAGTGCTCAAGTTTGCGACACAGTTTGCGAATGTTCGTTGGAACCATGGATTTGGGTAACGACAAATCAACAAACTAAATTTGTAACGCTGCAACTTGCGACTTTAGTTGGCTAACGATGGTGTTGGGAAACGGGCTCCTGGTTTGGAGTTAGTGGAAAATAAGCAAACCATGACAGATTTGTAATCTTTTTGTGAGAAAAATTAATTTAGAGACATTGCAATTAGCAAAACTAGAGGTAAACAATTAATCCAAGTAAAATAATTCATAGAATAATAAATAAAGAATTTGCTTCTGCTCTGGAATGAATCTGCTTCTCTGATGACATCAGTTTAAGTAGAGCTTCCTTTACCTCTTACATCCAACCACTATGATTAAAGATAAGAAGGAGGGGAATAAAATATACTCTCTATTTAAAATTAAAACATTTCACAATACTAAAAATACAATGGGGGCTGCACGTGGCGCAGTGGGTAGCACAATTGCCTCACAGCAAGGTCACTGGTTTAGGCCTCAGCTGGGTCAGTTGAAAATTCTGTGGGGAGTTTGCATGTTGTCCCTATGTTCGCGTGGGTTTCCTCCGAGTGCTCCGGTTTCCCCCACAAGTACAAAGACAAGCTGTACAGGTGAATTGGGTAAGCTATTTTGACCATTGTGTATGTGTGTGAATGAGTGTGTATGAATGTTTCCCAGAGTTAGGATGCAGTTGGAAGGGCAATCGCTGCATAAAATATATGCTGAATAAGTCGGCGGTTCATTCCGCTGTGGTGACCCTGATTAATAAAGGAACTAAGCTAAAAATGAATGAATGATTAAATAAATAAATTAATTAATTAATGAAATGAATTGGGTAGGAACATCAAGTTCACACAGACTTTATCCAATGACCGAATGCAAACAAATGGCGCACATTTCTGAGGCACCACCCTGCATTCTTAATCTAAAAGAACAAGTCTAAACGTATTAGTGAACCTCATCAGCTCAGTATATCTTGCTGTGGAAACAGTGCAACCCTTTACTTTCCAGAATGCAATAATTGCTGATATCACTTTACCTCCCATGGGAAATTAGTCATTGCGCGGCTGGGTTCTCACAGATCTTTCTCTGTCGTCTTGGATCACTGGCAGGTAAAGGTGAGACTCTGAGGCCTGGGTGGACCAGATGACGGACTCCTGCCAAGCAGAGCTCCACTGGCACTGAGGAGGGACACCAGCCTGATGATCCAGTCCAACCAGCAGACTTTCAACTCAGCAAAAAGACCCCAGCCGCTTTTACACAACCTCTGCCATTGTGAGGCTCTCTTCCGAACAATGCACATTAGGATACACTTTGCTTTTCCTCTGCTTTTATGATAACATTGGTTTATCAGCTGCTGTATGGAACGATTATAAGTATGATGAGTCATTTGGATCAATGGATCTAATTTAAAGTGAACAATGCTGGAGCCATAGCAGTTTCTTCCCACACTATTGCAGTGGAGTTTCCTTTTGTGGAGCTAATCCTCTGGACTGTAATCCTGCTAGTGACCCACCGGACTGCTAGTTTTCCCTTTGGCAGCTCAGACCCTGGATGAGGGTTAGAGGGGAGGTCGGCACTTTGCCATGGCTCATTCGTCTGACACGGCACGCAAAGACATGACGAATGGGGCTCATCCCAGTGCCCAGCCAGGTCCCTCGGGCACCTCGACTCTACCGCGCTACCTTCACAAGAAGCAGCAGCGCCAGAGAGGAGTGAGGTCTTCCTCCCCTATGGGCCGGGTCATCCTCATCAACGCGCCTGTCGATGGTGAGTCTCAAGAGTAGCAGTTCATATCATTGTCGTCAGTTTTCCTTTGATACACCCCACTTAGCGTTAGCTTTAAAATGTACTTTAATTCAATTCTATCTTAATTCTTAAAAATACAATTCTTCTATAATTCTATCTTAAATTGATTATGAGGTCAGATTTAGGTATCTGTTTCTAAAATATAATTATTCTGTTTAAAAGCAAAATATGATACTTGTATCATATTATATATAAATATGATATGATGCAAGTCTCAGATGTCCACTGATTTTCTGTTGAATTGAATAAGATACCTAACGGTTCACTTATTATCTTACCATGCTGTAAATGCTGTTTGACGTCCTCCACATGCATTTTTGTGTTTCTTTATATGCAATTTTTTTTTTTTAATTTAAACTGTTGGGAAGGAAATTGCATGTGTATCAGTATATTACATCTGTAAAACTCATGGTCACAGTGAAAACAAAGTATTAACGCAACTCAACCAGGCCTTTTCCTCCAATCGTGCATTGTTCAGGAATTATTTCAATTCATGATGTTGAGGTAACAGCAGTTCTATTAGAGAACATAGGACTAAGATCCTTTGAGGGAGTTATGAAACGACGCTTTCTGATTCAGAGAATAACTTGCCTTTATAGGGAATTTGTGCTTTGTTTCTTTTCATTTTCATGTTCAAACAACAACATTATGCTCTAAACATTTAAAATGAGAAAGCATAAAAATTACCCCTTTTTACTTACAGATTTACTATGTGTAATGGTAGTATATCGATTATAATTTGTATAATTATGACAGTTATACAAATTATATAACAAATCTATATACATATCTGAAAAGTGGATATAGCGCTTCACTTTTTCCAAATTTTTATGTTACAGCCTTATTCCAAGGTGGATTAAATTCATTTATTTCCTCAAAATTCTACACACCATACCCCATAATGAAAATGTGAAAAAAGATTTTTTGAAATTGTTGTGGGGTAAAGCAGTGGCGCAGTAGGTAGTGCTGTCGCCTCACAGCAAGAAGGTCGCTGGGTCGGTGGTTCGAGCCTCGGCTCAGTTGACGTTTCTGTGTGGAGTTTGTATGGTTTCGCTGCCTTCGTGTGGGTTTCCTCCGGGTGCTCCAGTTTCCCCCACAGTCCAAAGACATGCAGTACAGGTGAATTGGGTAGGCTACATTGTCCGTAGTTTATGAGTGGGTGTGTGTGGATGTTTCCCAGAGATGGGTTGTGGCTGGAAGGGCATCTGCTGTGTAAAAACTTGCTGGATAAGTTGGCGGTTCATTCCACTGTGGCTACCCTGGATGAATAAAGGGACTAAGCCGACAAGAAAATAAATGAATGAATGAAATTGTTGCAAATTTATTAAAAATAAAAACCCTGAAAAATCACATGTAGATCAGTAATCATAGCTTTTGCTCAATACTTTGTTGATGCACTGTTAGCAGCAATTACAGCCTTCGGTCTTTTTGAATATGATGCCTCAAGCTCGGCACACCTGTCTTTGTGAATTTCTTCCATTCCTTTTTGCAGTACCTCTCAAGCTCTTAGAGGTTGGATAGGAATCGATGGTGTACAGCCATTTTCGGATCTCTCCAGAGATGTTCAATAGGATTTAAGTCTGGGCTCTGGCTGGGCCACTTAAAGACATTCACTGAGTTGTTTTAAAGCCACTCCATTGATATTCCCACAGCATGATGCTGTCACCACCATGCTTCAACATAGAGATGGTATTAGGCCGGTAATGAGCGCTGCCAGATTTTCTCCAAACGTAACGTCCTGTCTCTGAGGTCTACAGACAATTCCTTTGTCTTCATGATTGGTTTGTGCTTTGACATGCACTCTCCACCCTGGGACCATATATAGACAGGTGTATGCCTTTTCAAATCATGTCCAATCTACTGAATTTACCACAGGTGAACTCCAGTTAAGCTGCTGAAACATCTCAAGAATGATCAGTGGAAACAAAATGTAACTGAGCTCAATTTAGAGCTTCACGGCAAATACTTATGACTTATGACTTGTGATTTTTCAGGTTTTTATTTTAAATAAAAGTTTCAAAAAGTCTTTTTTCACATTGTCATTATGATTTATTGTGTGTAGAATTTTAAGGAAATAAATTAATTTAATCTATTTTGCAATTAGGCTGTTAGATAAAAAAATGTGGAAAAAGTGAAGCGCTATATACTTTCCGGATGCACTATATATATATATATATATATATATATATATATATATATATATATATATATATATATATATATATATATATATATATATATATATATATATATATATAATCATTATGTCATTGTAAAGTCATTATGAAACCTCCATCTTTCAGTTCAGGTCTGCTTCAGATAATGTAACTTCAATAGCAGTGGAAAGCTGTGAGCAGAAGTGGGCATGGCAGAGAAAGTAGAAAAGAAAGAGGATACCAAACAACTGTCATCTATCTATGGCTTGTACTGACTCTGAGTAAAACACATTAGGAAATGCAAGATTTATATTAATAAAAAGTGCTTATTTTAAAATGTACCCACACATACCTGCTTTGAAGGGACATACATGTTCACAGGCACTAAAATGTTTGAAAGTCATATTCCAAAGTACTTTTTTACTTTTAGTGGAAAAAAAACAACAAAAAAGACCTTCACTGTGAGTTTATTGGTGGGCTCAAATACTCTCTTAAATACTTTCTTTTACATCATGTGTTTTCATGAATGCAAGCACAGATAAGGACTATGGCTTCTAAATTGTTCACATATCCCCTTTAAATGGTACTTACATCAGAATTTATGCTTGTGGCTTCACCTGCAGTAATTTAGGGAGACCTGTTTTGACTATTGGGTGACATTTTTCCATGGATGATATGTCACCTGATTGTAAATATTGCAATACAGGCTTATTGTGAAAACGCATCCCTGTATACATTTCTGGAGAGCACAAATTATGTAGACAGGGCTACGTATGGCTGCATTTTTTCTTTAAAATGAATGCTACTGCACGGTTAGATGCTACAGATGGATTCTGTTTATTTTCTCACTACCAGCTGACCTCTTACCATGTGGACAGCTTTTCTGCTGTTGAGCAACGATCCGACTCTAATTTTAGTTTGACTTTTAAATAGTTGCAATAATTGATCCTCTGACTGCAATGAACGAATCAGTTAATAGTCACAACTTTTAAACACTTGCATCTTGAATGCCAATGCACAGTCTCACAGCTTGACCAAATAATTCAGAGGCAGCTCTTCTCACTACTCAATCTTGTTAAACTTTGGCATGTAATTTTAGTACTTGTAGTCTTATGCTACCAAAAGTGATGCCACTCCAATAAAGGTTTTAAACTTATAGATGAAAAAAACAGAGGATGAAAAAGATGAAAATTAGCCATTTAATCCCTACAATTAAAGCTAACATTGCCTTTATTGTAAGACAGTAAAAGTTCAACAAACAAATCTGTTAAAATCTCATCTAGTCCAGGGTTTTATGACCCTTTGAAACAGGATTACTTGATTAAAATATTTCAAAGTAGCAAATTTTTGCGTATTAATTTTTTACAGTGCAGTAATGGATAGTTAACACTTTACTATAAGGTTCCATTAATTAATGTTATTGTATTAGCTAACATGAACAAACAGCGAACAGAACATTTACAACAGTTTTTATTCATCTTGTTAATGTTAGGTAATGAAAATAAAGTAATTCATTGTTAGAGCTTTGCCAAGGATGCTTTTTACCATAGACTGTATAAGATATGGACGTAGTATCTGTGATGTCACTCATAGGTTTCTGAAGAACCCAAAAGAAGCTACCAGTAGGCATGGTCAACCATAGCCATTTTGTTTGTGCATCATCGCACTGTCCGGGGGATACCAAACAAGGGCAAAGAGGCAGAGCGTGAGCGGAGCTACAGACGCCTGCTATCCTTTTGCTTAAACAGGCGAGAAACGCTGAATACTTCCTTAACTGCGACTCGTTTGTGTTCTGATCAAATGTTATTGGTTGTACACTATATCAATAAAGTGTTTAGACTTCAAAAAACACTGTTGTTATACATTGAGCCACTAAACATTGTTGTTATAAAGTTTTCCTATAAGTGGAAAAAGCGAATTACTTCCAAACACTTCAAATATAGTCTGTTAGTAAATGCAAAGCTATTTATGACATCCAGGCATAACACTGTATGACAACATTTCAGATGACTGTTGTAGAGCCTACAGCTAATCAATCTGTCAGATTCTGGAGTGCTTTATAGGTCTAAAGAAAATTATAAATGATCTTAAATAAAACAAATACATCTAAAAAGATGGTATATAAGTATATAATTTCACTCAACTATGAAACGAAGGCCATGTGAATGGTTTGTGAGCACAATTATGTGCACACAGCATGCACAACAATTATCATCTAATAATTGTAAGAAATAATTCCAAAAGGCAACTGACTGTGTAAAGCCACAGAAACAAAACAAAAACATGATGTATATGCTGAGTTCAGCGGCTAATCAGCTGAAATTAGCTGAGGTGAAGTGATGGCAACCAGCGAGACCTACTGTAGCTGTCACTCAAGTGGCCACACTTTAATTATGCAAACTTAATACAACCTAGTATAATGGAAACGGATGAGTTATAAAAAAATCACCCCCCTCACAGTTTTTATGAACGGTAATATTAGCTATATGAATCCAAATCGTTCTTTGTACCAGGCTGTAAACACCTTTTTTCTGTTGTAGTTGGCCATTTTAAAAGTGGGGTCAATAAAAATCTGCTCTATTATGGATCCAGGACTAGCGGAGTTATGATGAATTGCAATTTGAGTTACTTCCGTATTTGCTTCACGCTGGAGAGCGGGAGGTTGCCGCTTGGTTTTTACCCATACTCAAAATTGGTTCTCTTTTTTTTAAACCCATCCAAGTGCACACATTTTTGAGTGGGGTCACACACACACAAACACACTGTGAGAATACGTCTGAAACAATGGGCAGCCATTGTCTCCAGCACCCAGGGACCAATTAGGGGTTAAGGGCAACTTGCTTAAGGGCACCTGTGCTTGGTATCGAAGATGGAGAGTGTGCGGTTCATTCACTCCCAGATCTTCAATTCCTGTAGGGACCAGGAATCAAACCAATAACCTTTGGGTTAGCAGTCTCACTGATTAATCATTAGGCCACAACTACGTCTAGTACATGTTAACTTCTTAAATTTGTTTTAGTTGCATTAACTAATGTTAATGTCACCATCACCTGGGATCCAGCCTGTGCAGATTGCTGGAAAACATGCAGATCACTGGAGAACTACAAATCTGCCAGCAAAATATCTACATATTCAGTCATGCACCACTCACACATTTGGCCCAGACACAGCTAATACTCATGATCATTGATTACTTGGCCTATTTAAACTCCTCTGTTTCTCACACAAGTTGCTGAGTCTTGTTGAACTGTATAGCGAACATTACGGTGCATTTTCTTTGCCTTGCCTTCTGTGTTTTTGAACCTTGCTTTGTTTTGTTTGTTTACGTTGCCAGCTGCCTGCTTGTACTTAGTGATGGGCAAAGCGAGGCTTCATGAAACACTAAAACAGTAGAAGCAAAAGTGTCAAAGTTTCGAAATGTTTCGAAACCCGTCTCTACCGTGACACCTAGTGGACATTTTTTATGTATTGCACTGGAACAGCTTCGGCAAAGAACCAGCTGAGCAAATTGAGGTATTAAACCTTACTTTGTAGAGTTGAACCGTCAAGTAAAATAGTGGAGCGGGGAGAGTTCCTGATTAGCATGCAAGGATAGTGGGTTCGAATACAGGCTGATGCAGCTATTTTGAAATGCCTAATATCAGTTTGAAATGCTCTGTTCTTGCATCGTTTTGTTTCACCATTGGTCTGATATCTGATTATTCACTTTGTGAATAAATATGTCATGTTTGGTTATAAAACAGGATTGTTGCTTAATTAGATAAGGTTGTGGCCGGAAGTTAATAAGATTTATTTATATTATTCATTAAATTTCCAATTTATTATATTTTATTAACGTCTACCCAAACCCTAAACCCAACCATCACATCACTGTAAAAATATTAAGTATTGTTTTACAGTGTTACAAAAATTATGCTAAATTGATGGCAGCAGATTTCGGAGTATTTGTACAAGTCAGGTTTCGAACCCAAAAGCCAGTTGAAGAACAGTAACAACGTGCACACGCATAGTCCACTAGGCTATATGAGACAGAAGCTTTTTCTGACCCTGTCAGTCAAAGGCAGATTCGCCAGGTCTCGAAATGGTCGATGCTTTGAATAGCTTTAGTCACATGACCAGGGGTTTCGAAACACTTTAGTCACGTGACCTGGGTTTTTCGGATCATGCTTCGATGCAGTGTTTCAAAACTATTGCCCTTCGGGCAATCTCGACACTGTCGAAATGTCAGTTTCCCGTCAGCCATCCCTACCTGTACTGACCATCTGCCTGTTTATCGACCACGACTCTGGATTGCCCATATACATCTCTTTGCCCCTGTGTTGTCTGTTGCTTGCCTGACCATTCCATTTAATAAACCCTGCATTTGAATTCACACCTCCTTCCTGTTCTGAACATCCAAATTAATGTTACAGTGAACATATATTAGTAGATGTTGAACAATGATTAATAAATGTAAATAAAGCACAATAATATAATAAATATAATCAAATTATGCAGGAGAAGCATTGTTTGTCATGATAGGAAATATGAATTTATATAATATAATATATTGTGTTATGTTATATTATTTAAAGGGTGGCACGGTGGCTCAGGGGTTAACACTCAGAGCAAGCCTCAGAGCAAGTAGGTTGCTGGTTCGAGTCCTAGCTGGGCCAGTTGGCGTTGCTAAGTGGAATTTGTATGTTCTCCCTGTGTTGGCGTGTGGTTCCTGAAGGAAATTGAATAACTGAATTATATTAATTACTATTCATTCATTTATTCATTTTATTTTCGGCTTAGTCCCTTTATTAATTTGGGCTCGTCACAGTAGAATAAACCGCCAACTTATCCAGCATATGTTTTACACAGCGGATGCCTTTCCAGATGCAACCCATCTCTGGGAAACATCCATACACACTCATTCACACTCTTACACTATGGTCAATTTAGCTTACATAATTCCCCTATAGCGCATGTCTTTGGAATTGTGCCGGCAGCTAGCTCTCTGCAATTCTCACATGGTCATCCACTGAAGCTAAGCGTGGCTGTACCCGGTCAGTACCTGGATAGGAAACCACATGGGAAAGCTAGGTTGCTGCCGAAAGGGGTGTTAGTGAGGTTGCAACCTATTGAATAATTTGTTAGTGAGAGGGCACTCAACCTGCAGTCTGTATGGGTCGTAAGGGGCCGAAGGGGACTCTATACTGCTCAGTGAGCACTGTTCTTCAGATAAGATGTTAAACTGAGGACCTTACTCTTTGTGGTCGTGAAAAATCCCAGAATGTTCTTTAAAAAAGAGTGGGGGTTTAACTCTGGCATCCTGGCCAAATTTGCCCACGGGCCTCTGTCAGTCACGGCCTTATAACCATCCCATATCATAATTGGATTCATCACTCTGTCTCCTCTCCACCAATCAGCTTGTGTGTGGATGCTGCACACTGGTGGTAGATGACAAGATTCCCTCCTAATGTGTAAAGTACTTTGAGTGTCAAGAAAAGGGCTTTATAAATGTTAGGAATTATTATTATTATTATTATTATTATTATTATTATTATTATTATTATTATTATTACACCCGGAGGAAGCCCACGCGAACACGGGCATGCAAAGTCCACACAGAAATGACAACTGACCCAGCCGATGCTCGAACCAGTGATCATGTTACCCACTGCGCCACCGTGACAGCCTATTATTAACTAAATTATAAAGAAATATAATATATTGTGTTAAAATATGACAAAAGCAGTGAAAGAAAAAAATAAACTCCATCAAATGAGACATGTTAAACATTCTTTTGATGTTTACTGTCAATATGTGACATTTTTATAGTGAAATTATGACAATAAATGAGTTGACATCAAAATATTTACATAATTAGTTATACTTTATATGGTTTGAAATTGAGAAACCATTTTTTATAACAAATTTTGTTATTGACTATCAAGGCTGAGAGGAGCCTTTCCTTATCTGTAAATATAGCAGGGCTTCTCAAATATTATTGTCTAAAATTATGTTCTACTATTATTGAAAAAACTTTTGTTAAAGATAAAATGATTCATGAAAAATCACTGTGTTATGTTTGATGGTGTACTGTAATGTAGGTGGAGATGACAGTGAAGACATCCACACGATCACTGTAGATAAAAGTGAGGATGGCCATCTGGGTTTCAGTGTGCGCGGAGGATCTGAGCATGGCCTGGGAATCTTTGTCAGCAAGGTGGAGGACGACAGCACTGCAGGTACCAAAACACAGAAGCGGTAATCACTTTTGATGACAACACGACTAAGATTTCATCCCAAACATTCATACGTGTGTTCTTGTTCCACACTACAGAGATGGCAGGCCTGTGTGTTGGGGATAAGCTGGTTGAGGTGAACGGCATAAGTCTGGAGAGCATCACTATGAGCAGTGCTGTGAAAGTCCTGACCGGAAACAACCGTCTGCGTATGGTGGTGAGACGCGTGGGGAAGGTGCCAGGCATTCGCTATTCAAAAGAGAAGACTACATGGTAAGTGGGAAAGATTTTATGGTAAAACTTTAGTTTAGGTCACAATTCACAGTATTGATTGTTAAAGATTACAAATCTGGTTACATCTAAACATTTTCTTAAAGAATCCGGGATATGTTGAATAATATTAATCTGTTGCTTTGCCTGTTTCTGATATGTACGATGCCTTCTGCTAAGGCCTTTTATTAAAGCGGCGCTATTCTGATGCTTTTGATTAGTTTTCCGTTTTGAATTTGCTGCGCACCACGTCTATCAGTTACGTTAATCCTCTCTGCCACTTAAAGCATTAGGCTACTACAACCAGTCTGAGAGCTGCCACCATGGCGAGTGATAAAAATGCATTTCATTGCTGGAAATTTAAAATAATTTTACACTGAAATCAGTGAAGGGTACACATATAACAGTTCAGTGCAAAATTTGTTTGCCAGCTGTTAAAACACATTCAACACCAAAGGCTTCAATGTAGAACCTGAGGAAGCATCTGATGATATATTATTACTCACAAAGTTTTCGATTTGTGAAATTCAGGGCACCAACAGACTCCTCTCGATTCGTACATGTACAGCTGAATGCTGAATGCTGGTCCTCTTACTCATGTTGCTTCTCTCCGTCTGCCTGTCTGTTGCCATACACAAAGCAGGGGAACTCTTGGCTCCGTCCCGTTGTTAGGTTGGACGGGAAGTCGAAACTTATTTTCATGTGAAGCAACACACCACTAAAACAGCAAGCTTTGTACACGCCCCCAAAATGACACTTTTTATACATTATAATAAAAAAAATCTGAATTGTGTTTTGAACTGAACCTAAACTGAAACACTCAGAAGAACCATTATATTAATAATAAATCTTAAAAAAAGGGGTAAACTAGGTGCCCTTTGAATTTTTTTTTACGGAAATAGTAAACAATCCGGGAACATTTGGCATACTCTTTTCAACATTCATTATTCAATTTTTCTTCATTTTGGGAAACTCCTGAGACAAATAAGTACTATCTCTGAACTTTAAAGGGCCATGAACCCCCCCGTTTCAGCGAGTGTTTTCACACCTCTAGTTTGGAAAAATCAGGAAAGTGGGTGTGTCTAGCTCTATTTGGGTGGGAGTGTCGGGGGAGGGAAAAGTGAAGGATTTGAAAATAAATGGGAGTTTCCATTTGATTACGCGCTGATTTTCACCGAGGAAAAACAAACACAGACGCAGGGGAGAAAGACAGTAACTGTGTTTAATGACGGTGAAATGTTTGATACCACATAATTCCACATAATTTATTCATGTTGTCCCAACACAAATTAAGTTCACTTAACACTTTTAACAAATGTATGTGGATTGAACATAAAAAATTAAGGGAAATTAAGCTGTCCCAATGAAATCTCAAGGATTGTGTTGTTTCAGCGCATTTTAATGAAGTAGTTTGAACAAGTAAAACACATTTTTTTGAGTGTATATAATGATAAATGCAGTGTTAGCAAATGTAAAAATGCTGCGCTTCCCACCTCCAGTCACAAAAACTTCTGGGACTTCTACAGCGAATTCGGTGCTCTAGTCTGCATCAATGCGTCCTCAATATTAAGAACACATCCGGGAAGTTTCAAGCGTCCTCTGTTCTTGCAGTCTTGAGTTTTGGAACTAAACTTTGGCAGTTGATGATGATGTTACATGAGAACACAAGGACGCAAGATTGCTGAAGAACACATAATGAGAAACAGCCTATGTCATTCATTTATTTTCTATCACTTTCCGGGGGTCGCGGGGTAGCAGTCTTAGGAGAGAACCCCAGACTTCCCTTTCTCCAGTCACTTCCTCCAGCTCCTCCGGGGGATCCAGAGGCATTCCCAGGCCAACTGAGAGACATAGTCCCTCCAGCATGTCCTGGGTCTTCCCCCTGGTAGGACATGCCTGAAACACCTCCCTAGGTATGCTTCAGTTGCCCAAGCCACCTCAGCTGACTTCTCTCAATGTGGAGGAACAGCGGCTTTACTCTGAGCTATTCCCGGGTGACAGAGCTCCTTACCCTATCTACAAGGGTGCGCCCTGCCACCCTGTGAAGGAAACTCATTTCGACCACTTGTATACGAGATCTTGTCCTTTCAGTCATGACCAAAAGTTCATGACCATAGGTGAGAGTTGGTACGTAGAGTGACCAGTAAATTGAGAGCTTTGCCCCTGGCTCAGCTCCTTCTTTACCATAATGGACCGGTACATTGACCACATTACAGCTGCTGCTGCTCTGATCCGCCTGTCAATATCATGCTCCATCCTTCCCTCACTTGTGAACAAAACCCCGAGATCCTTGAACTCCTCCACCTGGGCTAAGGACTTTACTCCAACCTGGCCTTGGACTTGGAGGTGCTGATTCTCATCCCAGCTGCGTCACACTCAGCAGCAAACCGCCACAGTGCATGTTGAAGGTCCATGTTTGATGAAGCCAACAGAACAACATCGTCTGTGAATAACCCCCCTCCAGCCCAAGGCTGCGCCTTGAAATTCTTTCCATAAAAATTATGAACAGAACTCGTGACAAAGCGCAGCCCTGCCCGAGTTCAACATGCACTGGGAACAAGACTGATTTATAGCCAGCAATGCGAATCAGACACCTACTCTGTTCATACAGGGATGAGACAGCCCTTAACAGAGCACCCTCCACAGAATGCCATGAGGGACACAGTCAAATGCCTTCTCCAATCCACAAAACACATGTGGACTGGTTGGGCATACTACCATGAACCCTCTCACCCTGGTGAGAGTATAGAGCTGGTCCACCGTACCACGGCCTGGACGAAGACCGTTGTTCTTTCTGGATCATAGGTTCAACCATCGACAGGATACTCCTCTCCAGTAGCCTGGCTTGTATGTTTAAATTAAATTAAATTAAATTAAATTAAATTAAATTTAATTAAATTAAACTTAATTTAATTAAATTTAATTTAATTTAATTTAATTTAATTTAATTTAATTTAATTTAATTTAATTTAATTTAATTTAATTTAATTTAATTTAATTTAATTTAATTTAAAATCTGTGCATAAATTAAAACCTAATAATAATGATAATGCATCAACATGACCTTATTTTGTTTAGCTGTTTGTGTATCAGCTTGAGATGTCTCTCAGAAGCCTGTCACCTGGAGCTCTTCCAAATGCACTTTAACAACTCATAACAGAAGAGTGTGTTTTGTCCTTGAACATTCAGAGGTTGTTTTGGTGGCCTGATTGTAATACTGACATTTTCAAGCATGTGTTTGTTACAAATGTGCAGGATTATAGGGTTTAATTGAATGGAAGTGAGACGATAAGTAAAATATTGCGATGGGCAGCAGCCCCCCACTCCCTGCTTTGACTAATGGGGTGGAAACCCTGTGACTCTTGGCCTTTGCTTGTTATCTTTTCCTTCAGCTTCTGTTTCAGCATACAGCAGTGCTAGAGTTACCTTTGTGGTCTTCTCAGCCATTTCATTACCTGATAGTAGCATGAGCAAGTTTACTATACTTTATTAAGTACATGAGCGTGCATGTGAATGTTTATGTGTGTTTCTTTTTTGTGCATGATTTATCATTTTCAATTAAAACGGTAAAGTGTGTAATCGGTGCATAGTTCTGGAAAGTGTACTAGAGTACTAAAAAAGTCCTACTGAAGTAAAAGGACCATTACTTGCCAAAAAATGAAGTGCAAGTAGAGTAAAATCTGCTTAAAAAATGAGTCGTAATATGAGTAAAATGTAGCTTAATGTCGATGCGTTTACATGTGAAGTAAAATCTGTGTAACCAAAGGGGCAAAAAATCTAGCTGTAGTAAAATGCTAATGCTTAGTTTATGCACTTTGGACTAACTCAAAAGCAAGAAATGTCCTGTGAGAGACTAGAGAAATCTGTGAGAGACTAGCGGTGTCCTGTGAGAGACTAGCGGTGTCCTGTGAGAGACTCGAGATATCTGTGAGAGTTAGTGATGTCCTGTGAGAGACTAGCGGTGTCCTGTGAGAGACTCGAAATCTCTGTGAGAGACTAGTAATGTCCTGTGAAAGATTAGAGATATCTGTGAGAGACTAGTGATGCCGTGTGAGAGACTCAAGATATCTGTGAGAGTTAGTGATGTCCTGTGAGAGACTAGTGGTGTCCTGTGATAGACTTGAAATATCTGTGAGAGACTAGTGGTGTCCTTTGAGAGACTAGAGACATCTGTGAGAAAATAGGAGTGTATTTACATACCGCATTTATCGTGTATGGCCATACACCACCAGTGTGCAGCATCCACATGGATGTCGCCAGTGCACTTACCGCACATAAGCTATTGGTGGAGTGAAGAGACAGTGATAGAGCCAATTCAGTGGATGGGGATGATTGGGAGGCCTTGATCATAAGGGCTGATTGAAGGACTTAGGCCAGGACACCGGGGTTACACCCCTACTCTTTATGAGAAGTGCCATGGGATTTTTAATGACCACAGAGAGCCAGGACCTCGGTTTAATGTCCCATCCGAAAGACAGCACTCAATAACAGTGTAGTGTCCCCTTCACTTTTACTGGGGCATTAGGACTCACACAGACCGCAGGTTGAGCGCCCCCTGCTGGCCTCTCTAACACCACTTCCAACAGCAGCCTAATTTTCCAATGTGGTCTCCCATCCAGGTTCTGACCAGGCTCAGTCCTGCTTAGCTTCAGTGAATAACCGGTCTTGGGCTGCAGGGTGATATGGCTGATAATGTCATGTGAGAGACTCAAGATATCTGTGAGAGACTAGTAATGTATTTTGGGAGACTAAAGATATCTGTAAGAGTTAGTGGTGTCCTGTGAGAGACTTAAGATATCTGTGAGAGACTAGTGATGGATTTTGGGAGACTAAAGATATCTGTAAGACTTAGTGGTGTCCTGTGAGAGACTTGAAATGTCCCGTGAGAGACTCAAGATATCTATGAGAGACTAGTGATGTCCTGCGAGAGACTAGTGATGTCCTATGATAGACTAGAGATATCGGTGAGAGTTAGTGATGTCCTGTGAGAGAAGAGTCATTCAAATGATGGGCTTAAAGAGTACTCATTTTTCACTCTTGTAATTTATTTTCTTGTCATTTTCTACACTCTTTGCTGTTCTCTAATTTTGATCTCAGGGTTTTCACACAAAAGTGCCTTATTTCATTGTAAAACACTGTTCATCTATCATGGTATGGACACAACTAAGAACAATAAAATTTTTTAACTATGAAATTATTTCTGAAAAAAATAAAATAAAAATTTTTTGATCTTCACTGTATATAAATACATATGTTTGCAGGGTGGATCTGATCCACAGAAGGATGGTAGTGGAGGAAAGTGGTCGCACACCTTCAGAGGCCAGTTCAGACGGAGCTCTGCGCAGAATAGTTCACCTTTACACAACCTCAGATGACTATTGCCTGGGCTTCAACATCCGTGGCGGCAAAGAGTTTGGCCTTGGTATCTACGTTTCAAAGTATGACATGAAGTGTCAGGAAATAAAAGTCTTTTGCCAAAAGATTATTTAATTTTATTCATGCAATGCTTTTTTTTTATTTTGTGGTGAGGCTGGACCCTGGCGGCCTGGCAGAACAAAATGGAATAAAGATGGGGGATCAGATTTTGGCAGCTAATGGAGTGAGTTTTGAGGACATCACACACAGCAATGCAGTGGAGGTGCTAAAGAGTCACACACATGTGATGCTGACCATCAAGGTGAGAAGAACCTAAATGTTATATTATTATTATAGGTATATGGTAACATTTTAGTTGAAGTACCCTTTCTCACTATTAACTAGTGGCTTATTACTAGGGCTAGAATAAATCTGCGGACATTTTTTGCTATTTCTGCAGAAAATTTTGTTAAAAAATTATGCGGAATGATTTTGGGAAAATAATATATGACATAAAAGATAATGGCTTTTTAACTTGTATTTAATGTTTACAATGCAGATCCAATTTATTTGGTAAACAAAGCAAGTCTATCATATAATATATCTACTAAAAGACAGAAAATATTACATTTACATTTACATTTAGTCATTTAGCAGATGCTTTTATCCAAAGCGACTTACAAATGAGGACAAGGAAGCAATTTACACAACTATAAGAGCAACAATGAATAAGTGCTGTTGGCAAGTTTCAGGTATGTAAAGTGTAAGAAGCAAAACATTAGTAATTTTTTGTTTTTTTTTGTAGTACAGTTAGCGGTGGAGCTAGAGAGGCAATTGCAGATTAGGAAGGAAAGTGGAGACTAAATAGTTGAGTTTTTAGTCGTTTCTTGAAGACAGCAAGTGACTCTGCCGTTCTGATGCAGTTAGGGACTTCATTCCACCAACTGGGCAGATTGAATGCGAGAATTAGGGAAAGGGATTTTTTCCCTCTTTGGGATGGAACCACGAGGCGACATTCATTCACAGAACGCATGATTCTGGAGGGCACATAAATCTGCAGAAGTGAGAGCAGATAAGAAAGAGCAAAGCCAGTAGTCGCTTTGTAAGCAAACATCAGAGCTTTGAATTAAACTGTATTGTGAATAAATCATATGAACCTTTTCCTATTAGTAAATAATTAGATTAAAATTAATTTAAAAACTCAATAAATATAAATTTACTCACATTTACACATGTAAATCAACAGAATCAATGATGGGCTAAAAATCTGCGGAAATCTGCGGAATTCTCCGTGCGTAGATTCCGTGTATAGGCCTACTTATTACCTGCCTATAATTAAGATGTTATCTGTTTATGTATATAGTATTAATAAAGCACATATGATCTTATTCTACATCCCAAATCTTAATACCCAACTACTACCTTAATAACAATTAATCAGCAATAAACTAAAAGATTATTGAGGCAAAAATTGTAGTTAGTAGTTTATTAATAGTTTGTTTGTTTACATATTGTCCCCAATGGGAAAATTTTTCTTAGATTCTAGCCCCACATTTGCATACACGGAACAGAAACAGACATCAAAAAGCACAAATCAACACAAACATTCAATCATTAACAAATATTACATATTTAAAATATCACATGCTGTGCGAGGGGTCAGCTAATATTTTATTTAGTCCACACTTTGATCATAAAGCTTGTTTGACATGCTGTCCAGGGAGAGAGCCTTGCGCTCATAAGATCCTAGAGCCCGGGGATTCCTCCTGTTTGCAAGGCGAGAGAGGAGTTTGAGCCCAAGTAGATCTCGAGAACTCCTCTGCTGTAGTACCTAATGAACAGATAGTGATTGCTCTTAAGAGATAACTACTTACTAGGAGCATTTCTATGGTGCAGATTTGGATTAGTCAATTTACTTAAGTTACATGTTTTTATGCGGTGGGAGGAAACCGGGAAATCCAGGGGAAACCCTTGTGAGCACGGGGAAAATGTTTAAACTCCACACAGAAACATCGGCTGGCTTGGTATGGACAAATACCAGTGACGTTCTTGCTGTGAGACAACAGTGCTAACCACTAGGCCACCGTGTCATCCATCTAGGAAAGAAGGAGTAAATAAACTTCACATAGTGAAAATTGTATCTTAAAATAAAGTGTGACCATACATATCACTCAAACACTTAAAATATACTGTAGTTCACCCAAAGAAATGAACATAGGCTGCCCTTAGGCAATTCAAGCTGTGGTCCTTGGTGATTCATAAAATGCAAGTCAGCGGCTACCAAAACTGTGAAAGTAAAAAAAAAAAAAAATTCATATACAGACAAAAAAAAATTGATCATCAAAATGATACTCCTGCAGTTCTCGGGTGCTGCAGTTTACATGAAAGGTAAGATTGTGTTCCTGTGTGCAATGTCAATTGGGAAGACTGACTTTTCACAGATTCCCAACATGGATTAAAGGTGGTAATGTTGTATATAATGCTCAGTTTCTCACACAGACGAATTGATTGCTTTCATAAGACCCAAATATATCGTCGTCATCATTTTTTGTTACTCTGAAAGTGCTAATAACTGTTGACTCAGTGTGTTTTACTCCAAAAACATCTTTATTGGTCTTCTGAAAAAAAAAATCATCATGATTGCCAGATAATACGGTGCACACCGAAAGTATTCATAGCACTTCACTTTTTCCACATTTTGTTATGTTACAGCTCCATTATTCCAAAATGGATTAAATTCATTTATTTCTTCAACGTTCTACACACCATACCCCATAATGACAATGTCAAAAAAGTTTTTTTTGAAAATGTTGCAAATTTATAAAAACAAAAAAGCTGAAAAATCACATGTAAATCAGTATTCACAGCATTTGCTTAAAACTTTGTTGATGCACTTTTGACAGCAATTACAGGCTTAAGTAATTTTGAATATGATGCCACAAACTTGGCACACCTGTCTTTGGGAATTTTTGCAAATTCCTCTTTGCAGTACCTCTCAAGCTCTATCAGGTTGGACAGGAAACGATGATGTACAGCCATTTTAAGATCTCTCCAGAGATGTTCAATAGGATTTAGATCTGGGCTCTGGCTGGGCCACTCAAGGACATTCACCAAGTTGTTGTGAAGCTACTTTATTAATATTTTGACAGTGTGCTTTGGTCATTGTCCTGCTGGAAGATAACCCGTTACCCCAGTCTGAGGTCAAGAGCGCTCTAAAGTAAGTTTTCATTCAGGAAGTCTGTACATTGCTGCATTCATCTTTCCCTCTATCCTGACTAGTCTTCCAGTTCCTGCTGCTGAAAAACATTCCCAAAGCATGATGCTGCCCCCACCATGCTTCAACTGTAGGGATGGTATTAGCCTGGTGATGAGTGGTGCCTGGTTTTCTTCAAACCTAAGGCCTGTCATTCACTCCAAAGAGTTTAATTTTAGTCTCATTAGACCAGAGAATTTTGTTTATTATGGTCTAAGGATTGCTATGGATTGCTGCACAAATGGTTGTCCTACTGTGAGGTTCTCCTCTCTCCATAGAAGAAGGATGGAGCTCAGACAGAGTGACCATCTGGTTATTGATTCCCTCCCTGACAAAGGCCCTTCTCCCCCGATTACTCAGCTTAGATGGCCGGCCAGCTCTAGGAAGAGTCCTGGTTGTTCCAAACATCTTCCACTTACGGATAATGGAGGCCACTGTGATCATTAGAACTTTCAGAGCAGCAAAAATTTTCCTGTAACCTTCCCCAGCCTTGTGCCTCGAGACAATCCTGTCTCTGAGGTCTACAGACAATTCTTTTGTCTTCATGCTTGATCAACCCTGGGAACTTAAATAGGCAGGTGTATGCCTTTTCAAATCATCTCCAATCAACTCAATTTACCACAGGTGAACTCCAATTAAACTGCTGAAACATCCCAAGAATTATCAGTGGGAACAGAATGTACCTGAGCTCAATTTAGAGCTTCACGGCAAAGGCTGTGAATACTGATGTACATGTGATTTTTCAGGTTTTTTATTTTTAATAAATTTGCAACAATTTTAAAAAGTCTTTTTTCACATTGTCATTATGGGGTATTGAGTGTAGAATTTTGAGGAAATAAATTAATTTAATCCATTTTGGAATAAGGCTCTAACATCAAAAATTGTCAAATAAGTGAAGTGCTATGAATACTTTCCGGATGCACTTCAAGCAAATTAGCAGCAACTTAAACTTTTTGTGATAACTATGCTTTTGGGAGTCTTCTTGTTGCTATTACTAATCCCTTAAAATCAGCACACTTACCGGTTAATAACCCAGTTTTACAAGTAACTATTAAAAGAGTGTCTTTCTTTAATAACAGCAACAACAGAAACTTCACATCTGTTTCCATCCTAATTCATCAAGACGAGTTTAGGTTTAGTTTAGCAAGACAAATGATATCCAAAGTGCTGTGGCATATTAATTGCCACCACAGCATGTTAAACAAGTCAGCCTCTTATTGCGTCTGGGAGTGAGAAAGCATAGAAAAGCAGACAGCTGGCATTTAGCCGTCACATTCCTGGTTGCTCGCTTTACTCAGGCAGAGCTCAGGTTCCACCTGTGAAAAACAGCCAGCGGGTGTGCATTATTCACCAGGCCTTGGGGATCAAGTTATAATCAGCAGAAAGCCTTGTTTTATGGCCTTTTCTCATCACCCCCATGGCAAGGCTCTATCAAACCAGCAGCAGTGCTATAAGTATATAGAGCTGCTAAATGCCTGCTTTGTTAGCTATTGATGCCAGTTTGTGGTGATGCCAGTTTGAGCTCTGTTGGTGATAAGTGAAGTGGCAGTGTGAGAAGATGTCAGACAAGGAACAAAACAAAAGGAGAAAGGTTTGAGTGTGTCTTCACACTTTTAGGCCCAATCCCAATTCTACCCATCAGCCCTTTCCCTTACCTCTCCTTTTGCGTGTTCACGTGAAGGGGTAGGGGGGGTCCCAATTCTCTTTATCTAGCGTAGGGCTTAGGGGAAGGGCTAGATAGCCCTCGAAAGAGAGATTTTTCAGGACCACACTCAAAACCAAGGGGTAAGAAAATTTCCCAGAATACACCATAGCTGCACACAGAATTCAGGAGATGTACAAATTAATTATTTTTTTTTCATAATTATGAATTTTTACGACAAACAGACATATGTTTGAATACTAGTTGTGGGCCTTTATAGCGAGACTCTAATCGCGTGATAAAAAATATTGTTAATCTATTCTCAAAGTTGGGTTGGGAGCAGGGTCTAAAAAAGTGCCCTTTTGAATAACATCAGCAGAATGCCCTTCTGGATCTTTCACTTACTTCAAAGACACTACTGACTACG